GTGGGGTTCGATTACTTGGAGACCTCTCACCTCACGCCTTGATAATGTTTGCCATCACAACACCTCTACACGGTGTGTAAACAATTAAAAGCTGTTAGGTGTTTTCATAACATCAAAATGACACCGGCTGCGAGCCTTACGTTGTCATCGCACATTTTAATGGCGTTCTCTCTAATTTAACTCAACTGACCCTGTCACAGTTAATTATGCACGCGAATACGTGAAATCGAAATGTCTCCTTCTTGTCCAATGAAACGTTTGGGCACAGCGCAACCAAAAGTTGAACCCAGAAAGAAAGATCCTCTTGAGATATCTTAAGTATTCTCGTCCGTATGACGTTTTACTTACAGTCTTTGTATAAATGTTGTGTGCAACGAACCATTTTAACTGAAACTGTTCACAACAATAATTACGTGACAGCGAACCTGGCAGCTTTTGTAATACAGGCGACGAACACGTTGAAATAACGTAGTTCGTAGCGCGATTAAAAATTGTTCTTCTAAGTTGAAAGGCACAGAAAAGGAAGACGGAAGGACCGGGGAAAGGGACGGAGTAAAGAGAATGCAAAAGGGATGAAGAAATTACGAAAGATTTCTTCTCCATCAAATTTCAGCTGCGTCGCTAATCAAAGGGTCCGCATACCAATCCTGAACGAACCAGAGTTTTGCATGTAGGAACGCAGGGGGTGAACCAGATCGAAGGGCATCCGAGGGCAGGTCGACAATTTAAAGCAACCGTTTGACTAGAATCAAACATTTTGCTTGCGCGGACATGAACTGCGATTTCAAAGTCATTAATGAGGTTACGAGGTTAGAAAGAATTTAAACAGTCGATAGAAAATTAAATGCAGAAAACTGCGTAATAGAAATTTAACGACGCACAGTCTGTCAAGTGAGAGCGAAGAAGAAATTCTTAAAATTGGTGTTACCTGTCAGAAACTTTAAAAAACTGAAGTACTTGTGTTTACGGTGCTCTGTAATTTTTATTAATTATAAATATTAATGAATAGATTAATCTCAGAATTGTATCAAGTGAAGTGTAATTATGCGAATAATTTGTTTCGGAAACAGAACCGTTCACAGCAGTGGACCTCCCCCAAATCCTCCCTTTACCCCCTCTCTCTCTCGCTCTCTCTCTCCTCTTCACACCATTTTCACGCCTCGTAAAACGAATCGATTTCTGGCTACACAGTGCGAACATTGTTGCCAAACTACGCCATCGAAAGATTTAAAGCTGTGATAGATGCAACGTTGGAAATCCTGAAAAATGGTTCGAAATTTACGGGAATGTGCGAGAGGCTTGTTCTTAGGGGCGCTGAAAACCAGCGACGAGCAACAATAAGTAAGGCGTGCCGTAGAAAAAGCTGACCGTCCGCGGTCTACTAAACGCATTTCACTTAAGCAGAAACAAATGACATCCCGTCCCACGCCTCACGTGACGAGGCCCTCTTATCAGCAGAGATAAAATGAAGTTACGTTCGTGTTTAAGAACAATTAATCTTCGTGGCGTTGCTGGAGCTTATCGCAAAAACCTTGGCGATGAATTCTCTCGTCACGTGACTCGGCAGCACATTTCGTGGAGTTCCTGATTGTTCCTCGTGATGTTCAAATCTTCCTGATGAAGTCAGGGGTGGTTGCTGCCACGAGCTGGCCATCAGGAGGAGAGTTTGCCTACGCCTAATTGTGTTTAAACAGCTGGTACTTTATTCATGGAATATTCACAGCGTTCAGCTCGAGACCGGTCCGAATCGAATATCGTACAAAAACAAAAAGTCGTCTTATTCAGAAACAGAGGGCGTCAAAAAGTGGGATCGTTCAACATCACATCGTTACGAGATTATTAACGAAATTCATGAAACGGAGTCTTCCTTGAAGCTGATAGTTACTCATCTAGTTACAAAACTCATTTCCTTCATCAGCGATAACCAGACCGAATACGAGCGTCGGCTTCAAACGTTCTATTTCACTAGAATCCAATTACCGCTTTCTACCATTAATTTTCATGTCGCAAGCGAAACTTGCATTCAGTAGACCGCCGATGGAGTTCTTATCACACGACATGTCGTCCAGTTAATTTAATTTAACATCATTAATTAATAACTGGTTAGTATCAACGCTTACGATGTTGCGTGCGTCAGTCCGATTTCCTGCTAAGTTAACTTGTTTATTCCACTTTAAGTGATACGTCAATGCGTGCTTAAAGCTACGGACACGAACTTGGAAGGCGGTGTTCTATTACGTACAAAGTATCGGCCGTCTAATTTAAGAAAACAGTGTTTGATCTACTTGTGAATTCCTTTCAAATAGTAACCAATAAAATACTCGTAACGAGAGGGTCATTAATATATATGAAGATTTCTGTCTTCTGGGTTGTTGCGATGTGTAGTCTGGTCGATGTTAACCGACGTTTCAGAGGTCATACTGCCTCCATCATCAGACGGAAATCTTCATACTCATCGCCGTGAAAACCTCAAATCTTACATTACTGTTTTGTATCCTTCACTGCGTCAGTCAAAGGCGTGTCATTTCTACGAGGTCCACTCACTCGCTGCGCCAAAGGTTTATGGTACGACGTACCCAAGGGCAGGAAGTAATTCGTGTGCAGTGAATCGGCGGCTGCTGAACAACGTCTCCCTTGTGGGCAAGTGGACCTCAAACACGAGCTTCGTATCGACAAGAAATTAAAATGAGCTCATCACAGTCTACGTCCACGGAGCAGTCCTTGACAAACTGACTATTACGTCTGGCTTGAAACCCCAAGATTCATTACCGTGTATACAAAAGCCTCAGAAGTCTCCAACCAACCCACAACCTCCATCCCAACTTCCTTGACCTCCCATCTACGCCTCGGGCAACCAAGCGCTCCCCTCCGTTCGGGCTTCATAACCAAAATTTTGTACGTATTTCTCCATTATAATTTCACATGTACGAAACTCTAGGCCTGAATGTAATTCAGCGGTCACACTGAACTATTAATTACATTGATGCACACAGGGACAAAGGGACTGGTCATTCGGTAAGCGAGTGTCCGCTGTAGGGGACTGGAAATATGACGACGAGAAGAGCAGACAGTCGATAGATACTCTGTCCGTCCGTCCGTCCGCGTGTGTGGTTTTTTTTTGTACGCTGTACCGTGGCAAAACACCAGCGAGGTGTCGGGGAAATTACGCCGGCTAAAACGCAGCAGACATTGATTTTGACAGAAAATTAATTCTGTTTGTATAGAACGAACAACGAACAGTAGAAGTATGAATCACAAGGAAGGATTTCCTGGGCATTCGTTTGAAAGCAACATTTTGAATTGGCCGTCGTCTGCTGCAGGTGTCAGCCGCTCAACACCACCCGAACGACGACACTCGATAGAATCTTAATCCTTTTCCTTACTGTTAAATTTCGCATGTTTCCGTTTATGACAACTTTGCTGGCAGAGGGCTATTAGGGTACACAGAGTTAGCTTGTTTACCACTTACAAAGGGGCTGGAGCTGTGCCGAACAGATTTTCCGACAGCTACCTCCGAGGACGTCGCCCTACCAGTTGTTTAGAAAAGGGAATGGCACGGTCTATTGTGTTTAGCTATTGCTATTATAAAACAAGATGTTAGGGAATCGTTGTCCTTTCGAAAGCAGAAAATGCAATAGGCTCTGCAAAGAACACAATCAGATCTGCGGATCCTTATCCACGAATCCCGTTCACCAAAGTGTACCATTCCTACGAATGAACAATTGTTAAGTGCGTTCGTTATTCCAGACGTCGCACATTTATCGTCATTGCCTGGCAGTTAATCACGACCTTGGACAAGTATCTCATTCCTACCCCGAGACCGAAGCTGATCACCGAACTCTACTGAGTCTGCGATTCCAGAGATGATGTGAGCTAGGACGTGGTCCTCGCATGCAAACGCCAATTACTTTAGAAGTCGGACCATAATTTCTAAAAGAATTAACGTGCTTATTTACCAGACAAGTCCAGAACAGTTTCAGCCCCTAGCGCGTACAGACAATGGAACAAACCAAACGCAGTCTTTATCACCGTGGAGTGAGTTATCGTACCGCATCGCGGTTGGCTTTCCTTCTGATCTGGATCGAATCCAGGCATTTCTCCTTCGGTCCCACCCAACGCTCGGATGTTTATTCGAGATTTACGACTGAAGATTCGAGTGCCAGGCGGTGGAGGGGGGGGGGGGAGTGTTCGAACTAAGCACTGCATTGTCGGCAAGTGAGACTCAGAACATCCTTAAACGGAACGCATAAATCCCAAAGAAAATCAGAGGATGATTTCACGTTTCCTTCTTTAAGAAATGTTTTATGAGGCGAGAGGCTTGTTCGCTTCCACCTGCCCCTTATGTGAGCGTGGCTAGGCTTCTTTTGAGACAATCCCGTCTCCAAAATACCCGGAGCATTGCGTCCAGTAGCGCATTCAAACGAGGGGCGGCGGGCAATCAGAAAACACAAGATTTCATCACCATCGGGGCATACGAAGCGGCTTTCTTGGTGAAAAAGTCTGCAGCCTCTGGCGAGAGGACCACCACGCACTTGCTTACGCGTTTTTCGAATGAAGGGAACATCACCAGTGACAATTCGTTTCGATCTCTTTCAGATTCTTCACGTGGTCTGTGATGGAGAAGGTTCCAAATACGTCCACACCCACGGAAGTAGGAAGCAGTGACGTCACCATAATATCCAGAACCTTTTTCGTCCCAGCAGAATCTGACGGGGTGGACCAGGATACTGGGGGCGGCGGCGGAGACGTCGTGACCCGTCAGGACATGGGTTCGACATCCAGCAGTCAGACCATGACGACAACAGCAAGTAGCACCACGGCGCCAGTAACGGATAACTTCACCGAGTTCTCTGTCTGGACCGAGGCCTTCTGGAATTCCTCCTCCTCATCGCCGACACTGAGTTTGCTATTGTCTGCGGACATCAGTCTTGCAAACGACACAGACGTTTCGGTGGTCACCGATCTGATTATTCCCGGTGAAGACGATGCGTCCTGTGTGGAATGGGAGGCTGCGCAACACAACCTCTTTCAAACGGCCAACCTCTTCTTCGCAGCTGCATTTATCGTCCCACGCAGTTTTAAACAGAGCTTACTTCTACTCAGGTAAGCCCGTGTTTCTTCCTGGCATTCGTTGCCTTGGCTAATTTAATTGGATTGTCGCACGACGCCGCGTCACTCTATTTCTCACTGTGGATCCGAACACTCGGCGGTAGCTGTAACAGCCGACATCAAGAATGCGTGGAGCTTTACCTTCGCTACCCCACACACCTTCGCCATGGAGTTGCAGACGACTTTCCTGTTTCCAGGGCGTTCCTGTGCGTGGGATTCTCTCTGTCGGCGCTCTGGGCTGGCATCCACGTCTGCGCGCCCGACGCCTTCGCCTGGAGCGTCGGCCTCGTGTTCCTGAACGCAGTGCACACGGCCATCCTGACCTGTCGCTTCCTGCCACCGCCCCTCTCCGTGGAGCTGACGGAACTCTACCTGAAGCTGTTCAAGCCCCTGCGAGTCAGCAAGAAGCACTTCAAGGAACTCACCCGCGAGGGGCAACTGCTCCACCTGGAACCGGGCGAAACGTACGCCGTGGAGGAGGTCACCCCTGCAGACGAGAGGCTTTCCGTGCTGCTGAAAGGAAAGTGAGTGGACTGCGTCTACGTCTTGCGGGGGCTTTGCGTTAAATTAGGACCAACTTTGCATCGCAATGGAGGAGGGTTCCTATACAATTTTTGTTGGAAGACCCGGGTGTGGGTGGGAGAATGCTACAAAAATTTGGCCTCTACTTACATTTCTGGTAAAACGACAGATAACATCTGGATGTCTCGTTAATTAACTTCGTCGTGAAAGTCGGGTTCGATCGTGCAAAGCAACACGTGAATTCCCCAGTCTTCATGCTCTCTCTCACACCGCTGTTTGTTTGTTTGTCAGGCTGCGAGTGACGTGTGACAACACGCACCTCCATTACATCCATTCTCACCAATTCATCGACTCTCCCGAGTGGGAGGCGAACCACGACAGAAGCGAGGACGTGTTTCAGGTACGAAACTTTCCTGCAGAAGGCAGCTCTTTTACGGGCACAAACAGAACACGGCGAGCTGTTACCCCACTTGTCTGTTGCAGGTGACAATAACGGCCGAGCAGGAGTGCCTCTACATGTGCTGGTCGCGCCTCAAGCTGAAGCGAGTTCTGAGGCACCGACCAGGGCTCCAAGTGGTGCTCTCCAACATCATAGGTGATGCAGCTTAATGTTATCCCCCCACTACCGTCTCCTTATCTGGATCGTAACTGCACCCATCACAAAGAAAATCAACAGCTCAGAACACGGGTGGTAAAACACGGCCGAAAAGGGGTTGCTTCGACACTTTATGTCCGTCTACAAAAACCTGAGGAAACCAGTCAACATTCAGAATATAATAATTATAATTAGCAATAAATTAACTGTCGTGCACTTTGATACAAACATAAAGCGTCTTCACTCAATGTGAAGTGATCGTTGAAAGATGTACATCCTGCCCCCCCCCCATACAAAACAAGTTAATGGAAAAAAAAATTATATAGGCAAATGCTTAAAAGGAACGCTTGGTTGATGCTGATTAAAGAAATAATCTGTGTCTTCTGATAACATTATGTGGGGGAAATACAGAATTATGCCTTTTAATTATTAAAATAGATGGTACATGTTGTTACCTATGAGATGAAAATATTAACAAAAAGAGATCCATCGTTTGGACCAAAACCGTCTTTCGCAGAAATGATCTAGAGAGTGGCGATTGATATTTCAAGTGTTTGGCAACAGCTCTTCAAATAGCTAACGACTTTCCTCACACCCAGACCGATTTCGAAAATTACCTTGTGACGACCTACACCACTTCGCTATTTTGTGTAATTTCTGATGATAACTTGTGTTTTCGCAAATTTTATGTAAAATCACAGCCCCCGATTTCGAACTACCCTGTTCTGTAATGCACTGCCATTGCAGTGGAATAGTTTTATTGGTCTAATGGAAAGAGGGGAGACATCTGTGGGCTTTGTGACGTATGCAGCAGGCACACTCTGCTTGTGTGGTTAGCGAAGGTTCGAGAAAGAAACAACGAGTGGATGAGGAGAAGGGGAAATAAGAATGAAAACACCACAGAAGGGAAGGAAAGGTCTGGGATCTGTTGAAATAATTACTTGAAGAGGAAGACACAACGAACAGGTCAACAAAACACTTTCAACTGCACGACCACTCGGCTCCCTCAAGCTACGAACATTATTAGTAAACATTAATGTCTTACCTTACGCGGTGTCTGCCCAATTCATGGCGTAAAATGCAACTGGCCCTCACTTCCTCACACACAAACACTGCACACATTAGCTAGCACACCGTTACGAACATAATTCGCGTTTTTAAAATGATTCCAGCAACACAAATTGTACACCACCGGCCATGTTGAGAGCTGATGACGAAAGCGAGTGTTTCAAACGATCAACAAATTAAAATCGATATTGTTAATGTTATATCGACTTACGGCGGCATGTAGCAGTCGATAACATCCCTAACCAATTAGAAGGTCCGAGTAATGAGCTGACAAACACTGTTCTAGCAAAAATTGAGGTTACAAAACCGCCAATGGACGTTCCAAGAGCCAGTTCTATCCAAGACGGGGAAAAGAAAGGCCTTACGAGATATGACGTGGAGACGCACGGTTACAGATCAGATAAATAAAGGACGGAAATCATTGCACAAAGAGGAGCTTCATGATATAAACCCTCTGTTATTGAGGCTGTGATGGGTGGGACATCCATGGGGCTACTACATTTTTCTTAAGGTGGCGACTGACTTGTAACATTTGCCTGTAATGTAACGTGTTACAAATCGAGCATTACACAAGTGAATACAGCGAACGGAGCCGCTCGATGCGAGCCGCTCAAGCTCGCAAGCGCTCCATCGTGTTGTCGGTTTTTTCGCGAATCCCTTTGAGTGTTACATTACAAGTCAGTCAGTCAGTCGAGCGGCGTCGTAACGAGCATTCACGAGTTCTTTAGATAAGAGTAGCGTATTAAATGAAACAAAGATAACACAACCTCCACGTCCGACATATTGAATGAAATGAATGGAGCACACATGAGCACAGTCGAGCCGAGCGTTCAAAACGAGCATTCGATACGCCTCACCAGTTGTGGTGTAATGTAACATGCTCGCCGCGAATGTTACATTACAAGTAAATGTTACAAGTCAGTCGCCACCTTTAAGAAAGCCTGAAGGCGAGATCGGAGAAGGGCTTTTGACTAAAGCATGTGACTGATTCTTTCTGCAGGTAAGGACATCACACAGAAACTCTATTCGCTGAACGAACACTTGGGAGCCATGGCCAACATCGAAATGGCAGCCAAGGCCTTGGGCCGATCTCCCGACCACTGGCGATCTATGAATCGAAGCCTCAGCATGGACGCCGTTCACACTGGGACGCGAGGCCACGTGCGGTCCGTATCATGGCGCGCACAGCAGCAGCGCAGGACTTCCGCTACTTATTCGGACAGTAAGCTGCCGCTGTAAAATCCAGTTAACTTTTCAGTCACCATACGTAATGTAACTCTTCCTTTCAGTGGCTCAGACAGAGTCGAATGAGAGGATTATGGTGAACACTGAACTGGACAGGACGTGGGCGGAAGTGGTAGTGGCCTAATTTAATGTGTTTTCCCGGAATTTGCCTCGAGGGACTGTATCTGTCAATCAATTTCAAGTCAAGCTTATCCGACAGAAATATCCTATGCTCTGACCGATCTGTACGCGCTCTTAATACGATCATGCAGGCACGTAACTATGATCGTAGGACGCGCAATATTTTAAGCGGTTCTGCTTTCATCCCCAGGATCTACGTCACCATCACGATTCACGCAACATCAGTGCTGGGTCCCAGTCGTGGCCAACCACTTCCCCGTGACGTCACCATTCGGCAACTATCCCCACACAGTCATCACCACGGCCTCTACAACTGTGGTAACAGCGGCCACCACAGCTGCTGTTCAGCAGTTCACGGCCTCGCCGCCTGTAGCGTTAGTGCCTGTCATCGTACCGGTTCTAGCGCCGCCACCGGCCCAAACTCATACTAGGTCAAGATCTATTCGGCGACCTGGAGGTCGAGAGGTGAAGTTCGAGACGCCGGTCTGACGCCAGCTTCCAGACGGGGGAGGCGAAGACGTCTTCAAAGATATCGCCCCGTACACACGCAGCAATTCTGTACAAACAGATGTGCAGTTGTTTGCGTTCCCCCGTTTAATTTAAATAACGTGACCATGCTATTGTGCAGCCGGTCATAATTTACGTATATGATACCAACAGCTTTCCAGGAAAAGAAAGTTGCTACGCCATTTCAAAACAGAGAAGTTCCCAAAAGTATCGACCGAAATATATGTCAGTGTCTCTTATATGAACCCAATTAGCAGTGTCAACAAAGATTAATGGCAGTTCCAACTCACATAACTTCCCTGGTGTAAAACGCACACAATTACCTGGATATTTAAGTCAACGTAGAATCCTCACGTACGAATTATCTGAATCAGTGTAAATGCCATACAAACACACCAAAGTTACAAAGTAAAAGATGCAACTGGATTGTGTTTATCGAAATGTGTTCAAAGACGCTTCATTAATACGACAGAAGTGACTGAGTGAGTAGATTTGTGTTGGTTTCTGCACACGGTCCTTTCTAAACGCACGTTTACCTTACTTCAGAAGACCTCTGTACAATGGCGAACCCAGTGGGGGCTGTTTCCACCACTTGTGTTGAGACTACCCTTAAAACTTTTCACCCAAGTATATTCCCAAGAAGGCATCAAAGTTTTATAAATTTTTAATGAAAATATTGTCCTAAAACTTCATTCCTCTCCGTGGTTCAGATTGTAGCGCATAACAAACAGCTAATGCGTTAAAATACGAAAGATGAGCCATCGAGTATTTATGACAATGACACAGGGGAGTACAATTTTCGTAAATGCTGGCCCTGGAAATACGCGACTAATTTAATTCAAAGAAAAACGAGCACATTTCCTTCTGTTCCATTTCCTTCACGCAACTGACGGCTTTGTGATAAAACTTATTAATTACTATCAGATAATCATTTTGTACAGAACGCACGCCTTTTCTCAGCAGAATTAAATCTAGTCTATTTTCATAATTCTGCCACAGACATTAAGAGACGTATCTATCCTTCCATGTTAGTATAGAATAATATTTAGAGAACGATTTCTTAGTAGCCTATAGCACGAGGACGTACGTACTTACTTATTAGTGCTACAGCCTTCATCTGCCTAATCAATGCGCTATCAGATAAAATGTTTAAAAAATCTCAGTTAAATAGACAAAGAATCAACTGTCAATCAAAATCATCTGCATAAGTTTTATCTGCCTTTAAAATTTAGATATTTCAGTGTTCACTCGCTTAAACTCAAACAGAAATTTCCTATTAAAATAAGGAGAATACATTTCACAGATGCCTTAAATTACTAAAGACTGCAAATTATGATTAAAGGCGGGGAACACAAGTCTCAAACATGACTGTAAGTGCACGAAAGTGACAGTTCACGCTGCACAAGAACCCCGTACGATCTAAAAGGAACTAACTCGACACGGTTTGAACTGTTCTCCGAGCTCACCAAACACGCACTTAACCACGACCTTTGTGTTTTCTGTGTTATAATTGCGTTGTGTGGCAAATCTCTGTTGTCGGGCTTTCAGTGGACTCACAACAGAAAATACTCAAGATGTAATCGCTGTTCGTAACAAATTATGGAATTATTTTTGAGAAAAAGTTGTTTGTGTCTAAGTTAGGCCTAATTATAGTCGAGTATCACCCAATAGGAAAAAAAACAAATGAATTATGTCTGTCTTAGAATGCTGGAGAGGTGTCTGTTGTCAGTATGATATTGTAATGGGTAGTGAGAATGTTTTGATGGAATTACACTTTTATCTGTTACTTGTATTCGGTATTTATGAGCGTATTCGGTGGTTCCTAGTTTCCTAGCGACAAACATACATAAGCAAGTGCACATGATATGGTATTGTGCTCATATATTTTAAGTTTCGTGCGTTTTCGTCTCTCTGAATTATGGATAAGTATATCTGCCATCAAATGTATGTCCGTCAGTTTGGCAACTGCAGAAACATTGCGACTGCTTCTGCATGGCAAATCACACGTTTTAACGAAAGTGAAGGCATCCTCAATGGATGTTATGCAAAGGGCTAAAATACACGACTGTAAGACGGACTTCCAGGCTCCTGGTGAAATAAAAACACGAAAAGAACTAATTTTAGTTGAAATTAATTTATTTTTCGTAAAGCCAAGTTAAAGGAATCCGTAATACGGGCTGCATAAACTCGCGTCCTGATTGCAACATTAGGTATCAGTGTTACATAAAATGGATTAAATGGTAACCGAACCCCGCAGCTCCCTTTTAGGATTCCGAGCCATTATGGAGGCGTTAGGCTCGATTCTCGTCACAGACAAGGTATAACTTATCTTCAACCGTATTTCCCTCCACATCGTTCCAAATTCGCAATTAAAATCATCATAAAATTTTACTCCTGTAGTGACCGGTCTCATCACAAAGCTTGTCGGTTTTAACAAGCTGCTGTTGTGTTCGACATTTCCAGAAATTGCTTTCGTCTGCCGAAACAACGCGGGCTCACAGTTTCTGCGATTACAACACGCAGATTTCCAAGACAAAGACACGTAAAGGATTGATTCTGAAGGATGAGGGGCTCCTCTAAGATCGATCAATCAAGCTGCAACCTAGAGTTTCAATTCTACAGTTATGTATTTGGGCCCTTTGGGGAGTTCGTGAATCTAACAAAAGAGATCGTTCATTTGAATGCGAGGTCTCTCACGGAAATGTCAGTCAAACTTTTTCTCGTTAAATTTTAACCCTAGTAAATTATTTTGTTCGCACGAAAAAATATTTTGCAGTCCTTAATGGCCACTGCCCACTCCACCCCCTTCAATCAATCTTTATGTGGCCAACCATAAGTTGGGAATCAGCAATCAGCGTAATTAGACAACGACCAGTTTCTTGTGTAAATGCACTGCAGTTTGTGTTCAGAAATGTGAAATTCAAGGACGCATGCGCAATATTTACGTCCGAGTAGGCTGTGTTTCCACCTTAATACAATTAAAATAGAAGTGGTATTCGACAGAAAAGCGATGAAAATGATAAGATATAAACATGTGGATGCAATGGACAAAATGTAGTTACCTATTCAGAAGTAAAGTTTGTATTACCAGTTTGTTACTAAATTTTGTAAATAACTTTGTAAAAGTCGATGATAAATGTTAATGTTTTATCACGTGAACATTTCATGTTATTGTTAAGAGAACACGTAATCTATGTTTCATGATGTGTGACTAAGAAATGTACAAAATGAGATCTGACCATTAAATGGTAGTGTCTGAGTAAGAGCACACCACAGTGCAACATTCACTTGTGCTAGGGGACTCATGTGGCTTGGGTTTTCCTTCTTCCTTATCCTGCTTAAAGCGTACACGTGCGTGGAAAGATACTCCCCCACACTGCGCTGCACTCGAAAACAGCCCAAAATTTGTTACGTCAAAGCATTAACTCACTGAACCTCGGGAGGTTGTCCTCCATCCATGAAACCTTCAATCCCCGGATTCAATTCGGATGTGAGTGTTACTAGGAGACTAAGTTGGTTGCTTCATCGCAGGCAACCGAGCTTGCTTTCATGCATAAAGCGATCTACTTAGTAGTTACAACACTTATTAACACGTAGCGTCACTGCTCTTAGAACCTGAATTTAATGATTGGATGAATCCGAATTCTCATCTTGCATTGTACTCGAGAGAGACAGGCAATCAAACAAATTACTTCGTCCATTTTAATGAATTCGTGCCAACTTTTTTGGTGAACAGCCGTATACAGGATTCGTAAAATTATCATAACAAACTGGTCATTTCATTATTCCAATGCCCTTCCCAGTATTTGCGTTGGTCCTGTTTAGCAATGCAGCAAAGACAAGTCTGGTGCAATGAACTTGAAAAGCGAGCTGTTTCCTTGTGGACGCTGTTCGATGTATTATTTCGCTGTCCGAATGCGTGAACAGCCAAGAGATGGCCCTTTCCTGGACAACCAGACTGCCAGCTAAAATGTCTCTCCTCGCAGCCAAGCTCAGTCTGTCCTAATGACGTTTTCGTTCGCACGACCGCACAAAACGATCTGCTACGATACAGAGGCATTAACCGTGGCGAACAAAAGATTTGTAAAGCTCAATTAAAATCTGTACCGTAAATTTCCAGGCTCTGAAATGAAGTGCAATTGCACAGGTACGAAGCTTCAAGGTCGCTTGTCTGAGTGCGTCCGACCTTGTGGTCGGGAAATCGATTCCCAGATGCTGCCGGGCGCTTCACTGCGCCGTGAAATAACTGCGTTTCTTTAATGGGCTTAGAGCAGCAGCCGAATGCGACGAACGTACCAAAGAAAACCACGTCGCCTATAATTTTCGTATAAACTGATTACACACGTGAGGCCACTTAGCCGCCCTATGGACCTACAAAGAAGGAGAAAGTGCATTCTTTTGTACGGACCCCGTGCTTTGCTACGCGAGCCCATTGCACTCTGTGAAACCAAACTACGTTAAACGCACTATTTATTTATTTATGCGAAGCTTTGAACAGCCCAGACTATATACCATCTAATTAAACTACGATTAATGAAATTAAGGCACGAGAACCTTGAGCCAGGTTAGTCGAGATATGAACACAGAATCTGTCGAATACAATGCAAGAATGCTAACCAGTGTCGTCTGCTGACGAAGACAGCCACCTTCATACTCGCCGCCCTGAGAACCCGAAACCTCGACATGTGAGAATGCAGTAGGCCTGCAGATAGCAAGGAGAAACACGTCAAGACGACAAACAGACAAGTTCCTGAATAAATCTTGTGTTTCCCTGGGCAGTGAAGCCGCGAGTAATGCGCTGTAGTTGTCTGTTTCAGGCAAACCCACAGGCGGCAGAAACTGGCTTTCGTACTGAGTGTAAATTTGCCCACTCGTAAATCATGTTAAATGAGAAATATACAAGGAAAATGGGATAAAATTGTGCACAAATGGCGTAAGGAAAGGCGAATGTCTGAACACACCGACTTGCTTATCTCGTACAGAGGAGGAAACAGTTCCTGGTCGGTAGATTCAACATTTTACCCGCGGCAAAGTGCTTTAAATTTTCCACTTTATGACAGACATGTCGGCGCATGATGGCTGAAAACGCGGACGTCTTACGAATATAAAATTACATTCGACTGAAAACCCCTCAGACATCGTTCTCAGAATTGAGTGAGGTCAAGAAACCGGTAACAGCGTTTAGACAAGAGCAGCCCCGAAACTAATTAATTTTTATCTGTAATCGCATTGGGCTGTAATCGTACGTGACTGGAACAAACTTGAGATTCTGCCAGCAACAAACCAGGAGCTCACAGCTGAGAATCAACGTGGCACTACAAGCCTGAAGCAACACCATCTGACGCCTTGAGAAGCTGACAGTCGCTAAGTCACTCGAGAAATTCCAAGACTTTTACGGAACCCGAAGGTTCCCAAGATCCCGCAACCGCTCCCTGCCTTCAGCCAGATGAATCCAATCATCGTCCATGCCCTCAACAGAGGACCTGCATCGCATTTCGAAACACCGTAGTGGCCAGTGTGAGAGTGTTTAACCTCTCACTTGACTAACAACCTGGAGGATCTCGGGGCGTCTCCTCAACCCGAGGACGCGCCATGCCGTGACGAACCTAAATTCTTACAGGAACGGGTGCGTGTTCAAGCTTGACCGCTTTGTTATGATAAACATAGTAACAGAACAGCAAAACACAAGCACATACTTGAAATTGTGGCCTTGAGATTTCAGTAACACAGAACACAGAGCGGCGGTCCAGTGCGGGCAGTCTATCACGCTAGGCTGAGCTGTAGAACGCAGCAAAGCCACGTCAATGGAAAAACAGCGATGCATATTAAAGAACTATGAGAAATCAATGAGAATGAAAGAGATATAAGAAAAGTGTTTCAAGCATGCGAATCAACTGAGACAGTTTAAAAGACTAAAAGGGACATGCAGTGATACCAACATTTAAAATCCGAGAAAAGAAATACCGTATTGCAAATGACTGAAGGAAATATGGGTTACTTTAAAGAAAAACACGTACGATATTTACACTGAGCAGCTGATTGAGTGCAGTGACAAGCTACGGTGTTCGATTCCTGACAAGACACTAATAAAATGTCTCTTTGCCACAGCATCCGCCCTGCCCTCTGTCCAGCGGATACCGGCGATACCTCTCAGGAGGCAAAGTGGTCAGAGCGTGAATCCAACCGCTTGCCTCCACCTACGTACGAGGTTAAAATAAATGGAGTTCCACCCCCTCGCAAGCGTTCACGGACTATACACGAAATGCTTTCTTTGGCATAACGAAAACACGAGCTGTGGGTAACAACAGTCTGCAACCTTGCCGGCGGCAGCTGTCGAGTTACAATGCTCGTTGTATAAGCGCGACATAGCGCAGAGAAAGCGATGCTCTCGTGTTGCAACGCACTTTAGAAATGTGAAGTAAGAGATCAGGACAACGCTTGCACAGGCACACTGGGCGCGGGAATCCTCCTTCATGTTCAGAAACGTGACTGGCCAGCTAACACAGCAAACCTTTAAACCGAAAGCAATCGGTGACAGATCTTTACAAGGCTAATTTTCAGTTAGTTCGTTTGCAACGCTCCGAGACTCCATGACTGAAAGTCGAAGACCATCACCAATGCCAAACGCCTCCCATCTTCCCTCAATTCCACCTCAATCGTTAAGGGCGTCGACGTAGGACCCTGAATTCGAAGTACGAGATTCTCAGCAAATTTTCCGAAGTGCAGACGGCGGATGACAGCAGACTGCCCTTAAAACCAGCCCCGTCTGTACTTCACACTGTTTTAATGTTCTCTTACGAGCGAAAGGGCGCGGGGCTTAGACGTAGCGCACCTTCCGATTCTACATAAACTGGACATTTCTTGAACAGAGGAACGACTATCAGCTTCTGAAGGAGAATCCTCCTCCACGGGGCTAATTAGTTTAACTTCCCAGTGAGAAGAGAAATCGATGACTATTTGAAATGTACTTTGTTTCAACAGCGACATGGAATAATCGTGAAATGTGTTGAAATCAAGGCTGTGCGTGGTAAAACTTCAGGTGGCGTAAACACGCGTTTGCTCTGAACACCACACACCATTTAACATCCTCGTGGAAACAGATCTCTCTGGTAGCCTCACGGAGACGCTTTTGCGCTGTTCTGACTTTTCGTATGACCAGAATTCTTGTAGCGCTATGATTTTCACGCGTCGAAATTAGTTTATAAGACGCACTAAACGGCGAATTTAATGAATCAGAATCAATCGAGCCAGAAGATACGCTGACACTTTGTAACAATTTTTGATCACTGTCAGCTACCAAATTAAGATAGCAACTCGAAACGAGACGGCGGCCATCAATTCAAAGTTGCAAGAAATCGAATGTAATATTACGAAACTCCCATTATAGACGCACAAGTCTTTCAAAGAAAGAAGTTTTGAAAGACAAACACACGAAAATTGCTGACGCGAGATTAAAAAACACTGAATGTAACGCTGTCTACTTTTTGCGGTGACGTAATGAGAGACCCACCTCTAAACCGAACTTACTGCGAGGGCCAGAGTGCTTTCTGCTAATTGCTCAGCTGGTCACGAAGCTTGCCAATCATAGGCCGCTTCTGAGCCAGACAAATCCAGTTCAGATCCGATTATCCCAGCCGTAGAAGCACGTACCACATTTGTGGTTTGCACGTCGACGCTGTGAAGCCGTGTAGACGTGCATGTGCATACTGGAACACACTGCCTTCACCTTCAGGGATAAATGGCCATGAGGTGAGATAGAAAACCTCGGTAAGCTGTGGAGACCAGTGGAGAGCCTCACGCTCTGGCCGTCCTACTCTGTGGGATATCAGGATCTGTAACCTTGACGCTGAGCCGTCGTAGTTCCTGTTCTGTGTAGAGAGAACATTCACCCAGGTAACACAAGGGATCATCATCCGGTGCAGATAATCAAATGACTCGCGTTTCTGAGAAAGCGCTGACATTTCCTTCGCACCAGAACACGTTTTAAAGTTGGTGGGTTTTTATGCTGTGCTAACAACAGGCCTGATCTTCACGAATCTGCACCCACACGTTGTGCTGTCAATGGACTTAAAATTAAACCCGTTACGTGAGCCACCATCGAGCGAGGAATTCTGTTAAGTCAGCCAGCGGTTTGTTCTTAAAGACAGTTCCGGAAACAATGGACAAATACGACGACGTGTTAAGAGAGTGCGAAGGTCAGGCGTTCTGTTTCGTTACTCGCCCCAGGAACTGTCGCTGTGGCATCCTAAAACAAGCCACAGTCGTATTTTTGACTAACAAGGTCGTTTTACGTCAGCCCCCGATTTTGTCTTTGAGCAAAAGAAAAACAATTTTAATCTAAAAACCTGTGTCACCAACAAAAGCAGTGGAAGACACGTTTTATACGCGATTTTCTCTCTCTCCTGGGGCGGGGCGGGGCGCGGAGCTGACCTACCAACTTACCCACCAAGGTGAAGAATGCATGGAGCCCTATCACCACTGCCCCATCCGCCTCACGCAGAAACCCGGGCGCTTCTGGCAGCCAACTGAGTCTCGATGGGAGGCCCACAAACTGGCGTTATCGTTGCAAAATCTCGCGATGTGATACCAAAACCAAGAATTTTTCGCTCCTTATCGTAGAGTGGCATTAAACCGATCGAAGCATTCCGTGTGTGTCTTTCAGGTAACCTAACCCAAAGGCGAAAGTAACTCCGAACGAAGGCAGAAATGCAAAGAGCGTGTCGACTGCAGCACAATTATTCAGTTTAATTAATTACCTTTAGTTTATTTAACGACGCCTCCAGGGGTAAAATGATTGGACGATTAATTAAATTAAGCGATCTGTAAAGGCTGTAGATAGAGCAATTTGCCCTTTAGACTTTCGCAGCATTTGCCTGGAGTAACTGAGAAAAACAACGAAAAACCGTAGTCAAGATAGCGGAGCTCAGGGCCGAAATTCAGGCCCTACAAATGCGATCAGCTGCTCGGTCGGTACATAAATCGACTTTGATGATAAGATTTTCACGAACATCACAACCCCGTAACTTCGCACCATCAACTGTACCAAAAAACACAGGTCCCTTACAGCCGCTTGTTGACAACACCGATCAAGGCAGACCTCGATGTTTTGGGGCGGAAGTGCCAGTCCTCGGGTCAAAACAGAAAGGCATCTGGAATGAAGGGAGTAAACAGCACGGCTGTTTTTTTACTCAAGGCAAAGGCAGGCGGAACAGCAGCGAGCGAACTGCAACTGCGAAGAAGCCAGAATGCTCAAACTGAACGCATAACAGGGGGGTACGTCATGTCTGTCCGCATGTTTTTACCCCTTGGATAACTTGAGCGGATTCCGGTTAAACTTGGCATGCGCGGTCTACTGTCAACACGAAGGGCGCCCTTTATGAGCAGCTGGCGCAAGTAGTCAATAAATTAGCTGCGTTCTACATGAGCACTCCAATCCAAACGTAGAACCTGTCAATGGAATGGAGTAACACCTTATGGGCCCGTCCATGCGCCCCGTGTGACGGCTCAGTCGGTCCATCCGCGCAAGCGCAAAAGCAGAGGGAAGAATCCCTGCTCCGCCAGGACTCAAAATCAAGTCTAAGCAAAGCAACAACACAAGTTCCATAGTGCACAATACTTCTTGACAAGCTGACGGTAGTTCAGCCTGTTAAAAGATTCAAGACCCCGCCACTTGATGATCAATTTTAATATTATCAACCTCGCGAAAGTCTTTCAAGCGGTGTTTCAAATTCAGGCCTTCCGTTTTAAAGTCTGAGTGCGTGCTACATGTCTCGCCCATCACCCCCCACACGTAGCGACATGTCGTATTATTGCATTGCTTTTCATCCTGTGCCGCGCGCTTCACGCCAGCAACTCGACATAAAAGCTGACGGTACCTTAAAATAGGCCACGGCCCCTCTACCTCATAATTCTCCATCACACAAGAATTTGACAATATATTACACGCTTTAGAAATCTGTACTTTAAGAAACCATTATATACTGAAATTAATTTCGGGGTCTCATTTCTCGGTTTTCCCCAGTCACTTAAAATGTAATTCGAGTGTTTCCCTTCATACCCCTGTTTATCCATCTTCCATACTCACAAGATGTCAAAAAGCGATTTAATAAAAACTACACGTTCTCCTCTGCAGTCTGATGTAACGTCGTTAAATAAGTACGGTGACGTCAGACGGGGCACAGCACGTGCAGATTTATGAAACACCTCCGCTCGCTTTCCACAAGGCAAGTGGCGACTATTTTGGGGACAATTGTTTGTGACAGACGAGCTCGAGGGAAAGCCGATTTCGTGCTCAGGAGGGTGTATATATAGGGGTGAAGATGTGTCCAGGAACACACTGAGTTCATCTGTCACCGGGCACACCAGTACGTCACCATGTACACAGTGAGTATCCACAACCAGAGAAAGTCGGCTGTTTCAAATTTAGCCACAGCATACCTGAGTTAAATTTCACTTCATTTTAAGAATTGCTTGAAGCTATTAATATTTCGCTTATCTTTAAAATTTGTTTCAATAAATTAACAAAGTCGAAGTCCGATAACATTCGTTCGCTTCATCAATCAACGGCATCAGCTTCACTCAGTGCTGATGTACAGCGAGAAAAGAAATTGTATTTCCCGTAGAACGAAATTCCAGTCAAAGACAGACTGTACAGCATTTATGAGTGGCGAGCTCTTTCATAACCTAATATATGAAAGACCATAAACTGCTTCAAAATTAAGATTTCCTCTGCAGCTCTTACACATTAGTGCTTGAAGTTTTCTGAAACAATTTAATCTCTACCAGTTGCTCATTAATTTTGCGCGGAACACACGATCTCGCACCGAACTTGGTATGTAAACTTCCGCGTGACGTATAAATTAAACTTTCGGGACTATTTTTTTGAGAAGATTAAATGGAGTCGATTAACTTCTGCATCTGTTAAATATCAAAAATGAAAAATCTTATACGTAATGACGCAGCACTCGGATGTTTTCCTAATTAACTCCAGCGACATTTCGAGAAGCTGTGGGCATATTAAGAGGCCTTGGACAGCAAACGAGCCGCGGCGGCAAAGAATTTCGCGCGTAACTCAACAGAAACACTCCGCAAAACGAGGAGAATTCGTGAGAGCCTGAGCGAGTTAACTCAGCGGCACGATTCACATTAAGACGCTGGGGCAGCCAGCCAGCCAGCCAGCCAGCCAGCATCTTCATTGAACAGGTCATGGTCACGTCACTGTCCTCTCTGCTCCAGGCCGCCCTGCTTCTCGTGATTGTGGCCGTCGCAGTCGCCGTTCCTCTTCCCCAGGACGTGCGTCAGGGCGTGATTCCGGTCTTGCAGCGCACGGAAGTCAGGGACGAAGCAGGACAGTTCTCCCTCAGGTAGATCGCAACTTCCATTACACTTAATTCTTTCAGCTGAAACAGGGTTTTGCCCACCCCTTCTTGTTGCTCCGTCATTGTTCAGTCTCCACTCGACTCCTGGTACCGCCCTCATACAACTTCGCTTCGACCACCAAGATATGACCCACATTAATTAGCGAAAACGCGTGATTAAGGCAGGATACGGTTCAGAATACAAACCTACGTCGCACAGAAATTTCGCCTTATTAAAATTATCTGTTTGTCCCAAACAAAGGTCATTTGTTATTTGTGGAGTGACACTTTACAGAATGGTAACCATTCCAGTAATATTCGAGTGGCCTCTTATTTTCATTTTTCAGACCAAAATTCACTGACAAATGTCACGTGACTGAATTCTCAGTCCACAAATGACGAATCAATTTGTTACGGAATCCTGTCCACTTCACATGGTCTTCTCTCAATCAAGGAGACGACGTTTTATATCCAAACAAACCACCGGGTGCTGTTTTAACGAGAATATTTTAATTTATTTATATATTCATTACAAATACCGTCTTGCATCCAGCACAAAATCTTTAGTAATGAGATATCAAATACCCAGTTCACAGATGCTCTGCGTTCACATGGGAACACATCGTGTTCCACATGAACGTAACCACGTATTAAGGGGCAAATGAGACTTGTTAAAACGTGGAATAAGGTACAGAGACTTGAGTGTATTCAATTCGGGATGATCACATACTTGGCTGTTGCTGCCTGCGACCGTAACGAATTTTATTTACGGAAAGTTCGCAAGACACGGAATTAACACGACACGTCGATTTCCATACCTGTCCTTGTATCAAGAACTCGGCTTATTAAGCCAATTACGTCGGAAGCATAAGCCGGAGTCTGTCATTCGCTTTACACAATTTTATTCCACCAAACTACGTTACTATAATTCATCTGTCGCCTGAAGGACTCACCCTTTCTGCCATTCGCCTTACTCTCAAGTACCACATTAATATTCGACATAATGCAAAACATTGGTCTCTCATAAACTGTGTCCTACAGCTGTTTTAGCTTTCCGTATCAAATGCACGGCTATTAGCGTAATTCCGGAATGACAGCATAATTATGGGGGCGAGTTCGTAATCGCCCCTGAGAGGAAGCGTTTTGAAATCCTTTGCAGGCCAAATCAAAAATCCATGACGTATGGTTGCAGACCCTGTTGTTAACTTAGTGGCAGCTGATGCTTTGCAAAGTCCCATCGGCCTTTGAACATAATATTAAAACTGTTTTACTGTTATTACCTGCTATATATTTGGGACTACAGCATTCCAGACAAAATTCTGCTCTGAATACCAAGATGTGTTTAAAATACACTGTAAACACAATAATTGGCATGAACTTATAATTTATGTGTTTAAGGAAAGCATTATCACTGATTGTATTATCAACTTTTACGATAGAAGCACGCAGATGTGAGACGTGATCTTATTTTTCTGAAGACAGCAACTCCACCCTCGCGTAACCTCAGCACGTGGTGTATCGCCCAGAACATTCGCCCACACTCGCCCCCCATTCTCCCGTAAACTTCGCCAGTTATCACATCGTCTGCCCACAGACGTCGGATCTGTTCTGTGCATTCTGCAGTTGGAACAGCATTGTTAAACACGTGGCTACTATCACTACTCAGCGAAAACCAAGTAATAAGTAACAGAATAATTTGGCACAGGCGACTAAGTCCGGCTGTCTCTCACGCCCGTGGTTTTCCTCAGTCCCGCCGTTCACACATAACGACGCCTGTTCTATGCTGCAGCTACCTGTCCGGGGATGGGACGACGTTCAACGAGCAGGGCGCCCTGAAGCCCACGGCCGACGGGACTGACAACGTGCTGGTGAAACAAGGCTCCTTCTCCTACACGAGCCCCGAGGGGAACCCCATCCAGCTGACCTACGTCGCCGACGAGTTCGGATTCCGCCCGGAAGGGTCGCACCTACCCATAGCCCCCGCCGTCCCCGCACCGACCTTCTAACACGGCAGCCCAAAATATCTGTGTAAAATATGTCAGTGTTGTATTCGTATGCATTTCCGTTTAGCTTTGTAATATGAAGTTTTCGTCTTTTTAATAAACCGAAATTTTACTGAAAACTCAGTATGTCAAGAGAAAAATGTATTCCTACGGGAACATTCAACATGTAAGCGTGTTCTGCAAGCACTTCGTGTTTCGCAGCAACCTGTTTCAGATCTGACGTCGGGTGTCGTGTTCCGGGTTTTGACTCCGCGTAGCCTCCACCAGGAACACGACAGTCAGTAGTTATAACTTGCTCTGCAGGTGTTCATGTGTGTGCAAACAGAAATCCCAAATCCACGTTCCTTGCAATAATACAAAATGACAAAGCGGAGAAATTGCTCAGCGAGGAGACAACCACACCGTAAGAGGATTTCAGGTGTTTAGGGCACTGAGCACGAACATGGCTGTCTTCTGGGTTGTTGCGCCGTGTAGTCTGGTAGAAATTTGCCAGCGTTTCAGAGATCCTTGCTGCCTCCATCATCAGGGTGAGGCAGCAAGACTTCTGAAACGTAGTTAAACGTCTACCAGGCTACACGGCGCAACAACCCAGACGCCAGCCACTTGTCCGTAGATCAAGATAATAACCAAGCATTTGCATAGAACGACGAAGAAAAGGCATCAGTCAAAATTCCAGTTCGTAGCCTGCAGAATCCGATGCAATCTCAGAAGGAAGCTCGAGTTTTATCATTAATTAGAATTGGAAGACTTCTGAATAACTTATCAGCATCGGCAAACATAATTCGCGTGTGAAGTCAGAGAACAGGAAATCGCGTTCAACGTTCGGGCGCCTCGTGTGAATTGCCTGTGCTACCAGCTACAAGGTACTAAGTCACGTAGCTTAAGATATAAATAAATTCAAAAGGGCACTTATATTATGGTGTTTACGACTTTACAAGCCGGATTACAGCTTATTTATGACGGCGAGCAAGAAAGGTAAGTGCAGGGCTTACATACAGATAACCGACGGCGTTCTGTCCGCTCAGACAAACGTCGACTCCACGCGCCCTTGACTCTGACTCTCACACGAACCTGCCAGCAGGCCCAAAGGGGCAGCCCGTACCTTAACCGACTGAGCTTCATCTGAAATGGAGGTTATTACGCACGCAGTCTACACAGAAACTGATTCGGGGACGAACAATCCTTACTGAACAGCTGACAGCCGCTCAGCTAGTCAAGAATTTCCCACCTTTTATGAAACTTCCTGCCGAACGTCGAGGTCGAGTGGTTATCACTAAATCTAGTGCCAGAAGAATGGGCACATTGTGTTAGGACATGTAGCACGCATGGGGATGTGAGAGATTCTTACAACACTTCAGCCAAAATCCCTGAAGGGAAGAGACGATAAATTGGGAGAACTAAAAGCAGATGGGAAGATAAGATGAAGTTGCGACGGTGCGGACTTGGCTCGACCAACACAAAATAGGGCCCGACGCTTCCTGACCAGCTGGGCGACTGTCAGTTTCTCAACAGGACTCTTCTCCATGGAGTTAGTTAATATCTTGGAGGCGAGAAATTTCCTCAGAGCGTCCTGTTGAAAATACCCGGACGTATTACAAGCTGACGCAGGGGACACAGTGCGGAGAATCAGCTCGAGTAGTCAGCCATCGAGAACGACGGAGGGGATACCTGGCTTCCAAACAGTATAGCCGGCTTGGCCATTAACCACATCAGAAATCTGGATGGCTTGAAATGACTCGGCTGCATTGGATTAAAGTCGGTTTCCTCACAGAACCAGATGGCTTCCCCCTTATCTTGGCGGAAATAAACCAGTCCAATGAATTACTTGCTACTAATTGCGCTGAAATTCTTGTTATCTGCTGGAACACTGAAATGATTTCTGCGAACAGTGTACATGTCGGCTCCAGGTACACCAAACGGGAATATTTGGTAGGAATAAATAAGGTGTCAGCCGGATGCTATCCTGTAATTTATGATTCGCTAATTTAATGTTGAAGTGTTTCTAAAATTCAAGTACTTGTTTCGCTGAAACACGTACGTTCCGAAATGTGAAGATTAGAGTACAACATTTTTCAGCCTGTCACATTACGAAGCTTCATCTCCTGTACAGTCACAGAAAATTAAACGAAAGCAATTCGTTATGGACAAAGTTGAATCATAACTCGAGATGTTCAAGTGATAAATACAAAATACGCGTTTGGAAAAGTCCCGAGGATATTTTCCTACGCTATATTTGACAAGCAGCTCACAACACAGAAGTTCACACTACCGCCATCTTACGTGCGCTGGTTCGACAATAATTCATCTGCTAGTTGAAAGATTACGAGTCAGCACACGGCAATCTACGCACATATGACCGGAATATATCTGCTGCTCTAGAACAGCGCTTCCTATATTGAAACACCCAAAGATTTATCTGTCAGAATCCGAATACAGACATTTTCAGATAGTAGACATGTCTGGACTGTACGTAAATGGGAAATGTAATATTCTGAATTATTATTTCACCATCAGTACACTAGTGTGCCGTGAATATTATAAGCTTCCAAAAACCTGACGTAACTGTACAAAAAGACAAATGATTTCTCACAAGACGTCTTTAATTCCGGAAATACCTTATGAACTCCCCCCCCCCCCCCCCCC